GCAATACTGTACAATTGACAATTTCTTGCTATTGCGCAATATTGTGCTATTGGATATTTCTTGCTATTGCGCAATACTGTGCAATTGAAGATTTCTTGCTATTGCGCAATACTGTGCAATTGAAGATTTCTTGCTATTGTGCAATTGAAAATTTCTTGCTATTGCACAATACTTATTATATAATAATTTACACATCCTGTTTGGTGTGTATCTCCTACCATATCATTATTATTTGATTTTAAATATAAATCAGAAATAACCAACTTAAAATGGAAAATTTTAAAAGAAACAAAAAAGGAAAAAAAGAAAAAAAAGGAAAAAAAAAAAATCCCCCCCCCAAAATTTTTTGAACCCCCATTATGATTCATCACCCCCAAACTCAATCCCAGCCTTCCCTTTGTGGTATGGTACCTTGCAGTACAATTTCAGAGAGATCCATACACTTGAACACAAGTTATTGTCTGGAAACTAGAAAAAAATGTGTTTTTTGGCCCCTTTTTGGCCCCAAATTCCTAAACGTTTAGGGCAATTACCCCCAAACTCAAACCCAGCTTTCCCTTTGTGATATGGAACCTTGTAGTACAATTTCAGAAAGATCCATACACTTACACACAAGTTATTGTCATGAAACTAGAAAAATGCTTGTTTTTTGCCCCTTTTTTGGCCCCTAATTCCTAAAATTTGGAGGCAATTACCCCCAAAATCAATCCCAGCATTCCTTTAGTGATATGGAACCTTGTGGTACAATGTCAGAGAGATCCATACACTAACACAAAAGTTATGTATGGAAGTTACAAAAATGCTTATTTTTGGCCCCTTTTTGGCCCCTAATTCCTTTACTGTTATTACCATAACCCCCAAAATCAATCCCAACCTTCCTTTTGTGGTATTGAACCTTGTGGTAAAATTTCATAAAGATCCATTCACTTAAACTAAAGTTAGAGTGCGAAAACCAATGTGTCTTCGGACGACGACGACGATGACGACAACGACGACGCCAACGTCATACCAATATACGACCACAAAAATTTTTTTGCGGTCGTATAAAAAAAAAACTATGACCACTGAACCATGAAAATGAGGGCAAGGTCAGATGACACCTGTCAGTTGGACATGTACACCTTACTATCATTACATACACCAAATATAGTAGACCTATTGCTTATAGTATCTCGGATATGGACTTGACCACGAAAACTTAACCTTGTTCACTGATCCATGAAATGAGGTCGCGGTCAAGTGAAAACTGTCTGACGGGCACAAGGACCTTGCAAGGTACGCACAACCAATTATAGTTATCTTATTACTTATAATAAGAGAGAATTTAACATTCCAAAAAATCTGAACTTTTTTTTCAAGTAGTCACTGAACCATGAAAATGACGTCAAGGACATTGGACATGTGACTGACGGAAACTTCGTAACATGACGCATCTATATTCAAAGTATGAAGCATCCAGGTCTTCTACCTTTTAAAATATAAAGCTTTTAAGAAGTTAGCTAATGCCGCAGCCGCCGGATCACTATCCCTATGTCGAGCTTTCTGCAACAAAAGTCGCAGGCTCGACAAAAAACTAAGTTAATTTATCAGTAAAATACGGAAAATACTTCTAAAATATAAAGCTTTTAAGAAGTTAGCTAAAGTTTTTAAAGGAGTTCACTTCATAAAAAAAATATATAAATAGCATTCAGAAAATTAGTTTATACGGAATAACAAACAAACCTACCACAAAATTCTTCAAACAATTTACCAAAGAAAGAAAAAAAAATCCAAAATGTCATTTATCATTAATACAATGTCTTTTAAAAATCTATAAAACTTATCTGTAATTATCTTCAAAATGTCTAATAATGAACAGTAAATTTCTAACTATATTTATACTGTCCTACAGAGCTTATAATCATCAACACTTAGGAAACAGAATATTTTCAAATAAATCTGTCACTCCAATTGATATTTACCATATGCTTTGTAATCTGATAACAGGTGAAAATTATTTAAAAACACTTAGTGTAATCTAACTTTATATATATAATTAACCATTTCTGTTCAAAGGGAAATAACTCAATCACATAAAAAGTACCACTTTTGGCTACTGAAAAAGGGCTATAGCTCAACAACGAGAAAAGCTAAAATCATGAAAATTGAAAACAACATATCTAAATTTGAAAAAAATTCGTCAAAGCGTTTTCATGTTAATGAACAGACACTGTTTGGCAGCCGCCCGCCATACATCCCCAAATCATCCGATTTTTCCTTCGAAAATCCGGTTAATAAAACCTGCCAGACTGACATGTACATTGTGAAATATTTCCATACACCAGATATATCTGACCTATTGAATATAGTATTAGAAAAACAGACCAAAACACAAAAACTTAATTTTAACCACTGAACCATGAAAATGAGGTCAAGGTGAGATGACACCTGCCAGTTGGACATGTACACCTTACAATCATTCCATTCATCGAATATAGTAGACCGATTGCTTATAGTATCTGAGATATGGACTTGACCACGAAAACTTAACCTTGTTCACTGATCCATGAAATGAAGTCAAGGTCAAGTGAAAACTGTCTGACAGGCATGAGGACTGTGCAAGGTACACACATACCAAATAAAGTTATCCTATTACTCATAATAAGAGAGAAATTAACATTACAAAAAATCATAACTTTTTTTTCTAAGTAGTCACTGAACCATGAAAATGAGGTTAAGGACAAAGGACATATGACTGACAGAAACTTCATAAAATGAGGCATCTATATATAAAGTATAAAGCATCCAGCTCTTCTACCTTCTGAAATATTAAGTTTTTAAGAAGTTAGTTGACGCTGCTGCCGCCGCAGATCACTATCCCTATGTCGAGCTCTCTGCGACAGAAGTCGCAGGCTCGACAAAAATACGGAAAAATGAAAATAAACATTTTCAAAATTTTGCTCTGGATACTGTATTTCGATCATAAACAAGCTTCTGTCCAAATTTCCTAAAATTCCATGAAGGTTTGATAAAGTTATTTATGTCTAAAAAAAACTTTAACCACAAACTGAACCTAAATGTTGACGCCGCCCATTCAGACGATGGAATCCAGGGTCGCTATGTCTCGCTTTCGCGACATAAATGTTGCAGCCTCGACAAAAATGCAAAAGGTTTATTGTTCATGTCATAATTTGAATGGGTGTGTAATGATCAAATACTTATTATGGAAGGAGATGTTATCTTTTACAGTCCTTGACTGGGGTTAACTTCAAACATACACAATTTCCCATTACACCTTATCCCATTAAATTCTGAATAATACTTCATTCAAAATTACCAACAATGCAACAAGTTTAAAAAATGAGTTAATTGCAAATTTCAATATGTTGTTTTTTATTTTAGAAAGCTAAAATCTAAAGTTGAATTTAACAAGGGGATCCCACGAGTCTGAATCACTAGAAAAAAGATTCAATTTTTATATTTAGTTTATTTTTATTACAATCAGTTTTGTTTGCTAATTAGTGCACCTTATTTAGTGGCATTTTAGTAGATCTTGAATTGATGATCATTTTACTATTTACAGTTTATACCTATTTATTTAAGTTTTCAAAATAATTGGCAAAATCATAGGAGTAAGTAAAAATATAATTATGTATATCATGGTTTTACCTCTATAAGAGTGATTTTTTTGTGGGCGGGATCATTCAATGAAATGGTTATTTCTGGTGTATCCCTTGTTTCACTTTTTAATGTTGGCATTTTTTTCTTTTAAATGAATGAACCACATGCTGAACACATCTGCAAACTTCTCCAATAAAGGTCAAATTTAAGTTGCATGCATACTGATTCAAATGAGTTAAATTATTGACTTGCAAGCCAATAGTATATTATGCAATGTTTTTTTATAGCTTATTTTGACTAAATTAAACCAAACTGACTGCTAATAGTGAAATATTATTTCTATATTTCACTTTTATAAATGTTGGAAACAAAAACAAATGATATTTTTATATTTTGTCTAATTCGTAGCTAACGCCCTTTTAAGGACAATAAACACTTGTAGATCTTATTTTGTTTTCTAAAGTTTATCTCTATCCACAATAGTTTTTTTTACAAAAATGCAAAAAAATGGGTAAAATTACTATTAGGGGTCAACAGATCCTATTCAGGGTCAATTAAAGATTTCAGCCATGTTGACTTATTTGTATATCTTAATCAGCAGAACATTTTTACTAGATACAGTTTCTCACTATTATGGGTTCTGAAAAAAATTGGTAAAAATCATTTTTCAAGGGCTATAACTCCTCTAACAGGTCAAATGGACGAACTCAACCATGTTGAGTTATTTGTAGATCTTATTTGGCTGAACATTTTTGCTATATATTGTTGCTCTGCTAAATATTCAAAACATGGGAATAGAGGTCATTCAGGGGCAATAACTCCAATAAGGGGTCAGTTGACAATTTCAACCATGTTGACTTGACCTTACAATCATTCCATACACTAAATATAGTTGACCTATTGCTTAAAGTATTTGAAAAACAGACCAAAACACAAAAACTTAACATTGTCCAATGAACCATGAAAATGAGGTCAAGGTAAGATGAAACCTGCCAGACTGACATGTACCTCTGACAATCATTCCATACACCACATATAGTTGACCTACTGCTTATAGTATCTGAGAAACAGACCTTAGCTCATATGACAAAAAAACTTTAATTTTTTTAAGCAGTTGCTTAACCATGAAAATGAAGTCAAGGACAATAGACATATGACAGACAGAAATTTGTAACATAAGGTATCTACATATGAGGTATGAAGCATTCAGGTCTTCTACCTTCTGAAATATAAAGCTTTATACAAATAGTTTATGCCTCTGGCGATGGATAGCAATCAGGCGAGACAATAAGATGTGTCATGCCACCTTATTTAAATTATCTATCAAGTGTTTTTTTTAATTTAAAAATATTGATTTAAACATGCCATCTAATATATAAATGGTTTTAAACAAAACATACTTTTTTATAATATAATCAGCACAGCCTTCTGCTACTACTGCTACGGATAAAAAACACGCTCTCCTGACCAATGGATTGTCACTGGATATCAAAGGTTCAACCAACTGCATCTGAAACATAATAAAAATTTATTCCTTTTTTTTTCATAGAGAGTATTGTTGTGTTGTTTGATTTACAATCTTTAGCTATGACTATTTATAATGAAGATTAATGCAGAAAAGCACTTTGAATGCACTAATTATATGCATGTTGGATTTTGAGACAGCATGACATTTATTAGACTTTTAAAGTGGTTGTTGCTTGTTGCTGTTTATCATATTTGTTTTTCGTTTATTGTTTTGTAATTTGTTCTGGTGTTGTGCTGTAGTATTTCTGCCCCAGGTTGGGAGAAGGTCAGGCGCTCGCTAACATCTTGAACTCCGCCACATTTTGTATGTGCCTATCCCAAGTCAGGAGCCTGTAACTCAGTGGCTGTCCTTTGTTGGTATATGGTATTTGTTTTTTGTTTATTATATATAAATCAGGCTGTTAGTTTTCTTGTTTAAATTGTTTTACATTTGTCATTTCGGGCCGTGGGGTATAACTGTTGCTCATTGTTGAAGGCTATATGGTGACCTATATCCTGTTATGTGATGGCTTCCAAAGTTATGCTATCCTCTCATAATTCCACCTCTTTCAAACCATTGTGTAAATTCACTATGTCATTGGGAAAAAATAAAGGCAAAAGTTGTTTCAATGGATTTCTAATTTGGCATTCAAGACAGCTTTGCAGTCATAAAAACATTATATATGTTTACATAACTCTATTGCATGGAGGTCAGTGTGTCTTAATGGTATGTAAACCATAGCTACTTAAAAATATTAATGATTATAAACATGTAAATATTTTAGCATTCCAAAACCTAAATTAAAGGTTCCCATTAATACAATTTATACTTTAAAACATCATTGGACTCCGAACACCTGAGATCACCCCAAGTTTTGGTTAGGTTTGTGTTGCTCAATCTTTAGTTTTCAATGCAGTGTTTAGATGTCTTTCTTTTTTTTCTCATGGCCTTGCCAGTTTTACCTCAGTTAAAATGTTATGAATGTCCCCTTGGTAACTTACACCTTTTTTTTACTCCTCGATTCTAGATTTTACTATAATGAATTTAGAAAAAAAAAGTTTATAACATAATGTCAACAAGGGATCTTATTAAAAATGTGCTTCGCAGAGCACAGCTGGATACGACCGCAGAGGTCCAACCCTGAACAAATGGGGCAAAAATGGACACAATATTCAAGCTTGATACAGGTCTGAATTTGGATTGTAATTAAATATTTGACACAGAATAAATGTAGTCAAAGAAATTGAAATTGGTTATATGATTTGAATTTATATTCAATTGAAGATTTCTTGCTGTTGTGCAATACACTGTGCTGTTGCGCAATACTTAGTAAATCTTTTTTCAGACTATATACAAAGAATCAGCAAAATAAATTGTGACCCCCATTTTTGTTTTGTTTTGGAAAATTGATAATTTCTTAAATCTTGAGGAAAAAAAATTGACCCCCCCCCCCCAAAAAAAATGTTTTTTTTACCCCCCTCCAAAAAAAAAATATTCGAAGAAATTTTCTTTTTGTACAATGTGGTACAATTTAAGAGACATCCATACACTTAAACACAAGTTATTGTCTGAAAACTAAAAAAATGCTTGTTTTGGCCCCTTTTTGGCCCCTAATTCCTGAACGGTTTGGCCAATTACCCCCGAAATGAATCCCAACCTTTTACTTGTGGTATTCAATCTTGTGGTACAATTTCAGAGCAATCAAAATACTTATACACAAGTTATTGTCCTGAAACTAGAAAAATGCTTGTTTTGGGCCCCTTTTTGGCCCCTAGTTCCTTAACGGTTTGGACCAGCACCCCCAAAAACAATCCCAACCTTCCTTTTGTGATATTGAACCTTTTGCTTAAATTTCATAGAGATCCATACACTTAAACTAAAGTTATTGTCCGGAAACCAAATGTACGCGGACGACGACGTCGTCGACGTGATATCAATATACGAATGCAAATTTTTTGAGGTCGTATAAAAACAAGCCCTCTTTGAATTTGTCCTTATCAATGTATACTACCAATGTCCCTACAAATGTAACGTGAGAGTACCCAAATTGCACCTATTATGACAGTTCATTCAACTACGTTTATTTATGACCTAGACAAAAATTTCCATTCTGTGTTTATTTTGTCGATGTATCCTTATTTACTATTTAGTTCCACCAATCTAATTTTGAATCCATGTTGAATCATAGAAAAATTGGTCTGAACTGACCTCCAAACAATCCATGATTCTGTAATGAGGAGTACCAAAATTGCATCCATGCTTAAATTCACATCTGTAAAAATAGATTAACTGATGTTTTGTTTTATTTCTCCAAATATTTAGAACAATTTGATAATAGTCCATGCTTACTATTCATTTGTCAAGAAATGAATGTCTGTAACATATTTTAATTGCTCAATTCTAAAAGTTGACTTTTTGTTGACAGTTGCATGGCGACGTTTCTGTAGATTTGACTCTTTTCAGTGAATATTTCATCTGTTGATATATACTGAGAACGTTTTGTGTATATTTAAATATATTTACGGTAGCTATGTTGAAAGACGTGTATAATGTCAAATCATAAATATGCAAATTGTTTTGTCTCTAAGAAAACTTGTAAGATTTCCACTGCTATTTTTCCTAAATGGGATCAATTTGGGTACTGTGACGTTATATTGCTGCTTGATTAAGAATTTCTTAAAACCAAGAGTTGATTTATTACCAACATACTTTAATTAGAAATGTTTAATACAAACATCCCTATAAATGTACATTCCTAAATACATGTATGTGTTAATCTTGAACAAAGATAAATTACTTAATTTCTGCACTGTTAGTCTGTGGGAAAGGTATAGCTGAAGAGCGGTTTTTTTTTTTTTATTTACTTAGGAAAAAACTCAAGATTGGTTAAAGAGCTAGATAGGTCATGGGTCCAAAATGAATCTTCTGGCAGTAAATGGTAAGTATAAGCTCAGAAGGAAATGTATTTTATCATATATGTTATTGTGTAATATATTTTTATATGTAATAAAAAGTATAAAAAATGTAATGTAGCTTTGTCTTGTTCTAAAATGACCATCTTATTTCATACCTGTCAACCTCTGAAAAGGAAAATGCAGGTCATTCCCTGCATTGCATTGAAGAAGAAAATGTCATGTCATAACACGTACAATTTTTTTCAGTTGAATTTTTGTATATAAAAGGTTTATGTACTATAACATATACCAGTTTCCTACAAATATTCACTATTGTATTTGTTAATTATATAAATATTTATCATTAATTAAATATCTTTCTAAAGCAATGCCCTTTAATTGTTTTATTCACACTACTTATTATAAATGAATTTCATAAACCTCAGTTATAAGTAGAAATCAGTTATGGCTGATATGCTCCTTTACACAGGAGGAAGATAAGAGAAAGAAGAAGTAAGTGTGTTTACTTCCAGTGCAATATCTAGAGCATATGGATTTGACTCAAAGCTTTTACATTTAAGTGATAACAAAATTAAATGGTTTAAAATAGTTCATAAGGGACTAATAAATATTGCATAATCCTGATTGCAGAATAAAGTGTAAATGATCGTTTTTTTACCCCCACCCTTCCAAAAAAAATAATATTTGAAGAAATTTTCTTTTTGTAAAATGTGGTACAATTTAAGAGACATCCATACACTTAAACACAAGTTATTGTCTGAAAACTAAAAAAAATGCTTATTTTGGCCCCTTTTTGGCCCCTAATTCCTGAACAGTTTGGGCAATTACCCCCGAAATGAATCCCAACCTTCTACTTGTGGTATTCAACCTTGTGGTACAATTTCAGAGCAATCAAAATACTTATACACAAGTTATTGTCCTGAAACTAGAAAAATGCTTGTTTTGGGCCCTTTTTGGCCCCTAATTCCTAAACGGTTGGGACCATCACCCCCAAAAACAATCCCAACCTTCCTTTTGTGGTATTGAACCTTTCAATTAAATTTCATAGAGATCCATACACTTAAACTAAAGTTATTGTCCCGAAATCAAATGTCTTCGGACGACGACAACGTGATAGCAATATACGAACACAAATTTTTTGCGATCGTATAAAAACCAATTGTTCAGAGAACAATTGAAGGTCTTTCCACCCAAATTCACTTAAAATAAGAAAATTTGGATTAATTACAGTATGTCCGGTCTAAAATGATAGCTTATCACACATTGATTTTGAAAATACAATGTTATAGGCAATTTTTTCATAATTTAAGGGAGATAATAAGCCACTTCCGGTTAGATCTAAGTCACTTCTTTTGTCAAATAATAGCTTACTTTACTTTGATTCCAAAAATATATAGTTTCTATATACTTTTGCTTTAAACAAAGGAGACAAGTTGCTACTTCCGGTTTACAAAAGGTCACTTCTGGTTTACATTTTCAAGGTCATATGTCTACCAACCTAATGCAAAAGACCCCATTGCTTTATTATGTATAAATATGAATCTATAGCAAAGGTCAAAATCTAGAACGACAAATTTACCTTTGACCTTGAACTAAATTTCAAGGTCATAGAGCAAGGACCTCAAATCAAATGACCCTAAGACTCCCCTATATATGGGAAATAAATAAAGGCAACAGTAGTATACCGCTGTTCGAAACTCATAAATCGATAGAGATAAAAACAAATCCAGGTTACAAACTAAAACTGAGGGAAACGCATCAAATATAAGAGGAGAACAACGACACAACAAAAACACAGCATTAAAATGTAACACACACAGAAACGAACTATAATATAACAATGGCCATTTTCCTGACTTGGTACAGGACATTTTAAGAAAAAAATGGTGGGTTGAACCTAGTTTTGTGGCAAACCTGCTTTTATGGCAATGTTTAATTTAACATTAAAGTGACAACATTACATGACATGACTACAATACAAATTAATGGGAGAACATATAGGACAAAGAAACACACGAATAATAGCTAACAAAAGGTATTAGGTTTAGAATTTAATACGCCAGACGTGCGTCTCGTCCACACAAGACT